TGCACAGAAGAGGACACGCAGCGAGCGTGCTCAGTGCAGAGGTAAATATGGATGGTAATGTTGGTAACCACCACAACAACCGAATATTCAGATATTCAGGTCCAGCCCTACGAGACTGTAATTTACATTTTAATAAATTACTGCATCTCAAAATGATGGTGATTAACCCTTTTGCAAGCAATTAAAACATACGCTAATGCCCCTGCCACTTTTCAGCTGTTGCTACAGCTAGTAGTCGTATTTATTTGCCTTTTATATTTGAATGGAAACGGAGCTTATAGCAGCTGGAGCACACTGTAGCTGCTCAGCGCCGCTGTTCACAGAATGCTAGCGCTGGTCAGTGTGGGCGCACATCTGTACAGTGATCTCTGTAGTTATTAGTGTGGACGGGCCAGAACAGGAGAACTGGTTAATGCTGACTGTGGGAAGAAAACAACAACAAAAATATCCCAGTATATGCTGTCTGATGGGAAAAAACGTGTCCCAGACACGAAAGATAAGTTCAGTTGAAATGTATTGGTTTGAAATTCGTGCTGGGGATCATGAAAAATGTGGACAATTTGTGTCCCTGGACTCAAATCAATAGATTAAGTTTCGTGACTATTTCACCAACTGCCATGAGACTGGGTTGCGGTGGAGCGTATCTTGCAGTTTTAAAGTTGTTGTCCAAGCAGAGCCGGCACATTTACAACGTAATCGTTTCAAGGAGAAGATTCAAAGGAAGAGAGCCGGGTTTTTGGCCGTGGCGTTTGGTGGGTCAGTGGCATCAGCGTCTGTACACAGAAAGTGTGGTTGTGGAGTCTACCTGAACGTAGAAGAGTGACGTTTGTCGTGTATCAATGACGTGTAGGTCGGATACATGCGACCTGGCCGTTCAGACAGAAGTCGCATGGCAGAAGATCAGATACCTATTGGATTTAGGACCACGTATCCAAGTGGGTCGCATTTGAAAAAATCGACTCTGTGTTGTTCAGACTGTCATGAAAAGATCAGATACAGATCGCATAGGAGCAAAAGAATCAGATTTGGGTCGCTTTAGCCTGCTGTCTGAACGCAGCCAAACATACGAGAGTCACCAAGGCAAACTGCTCACACTAAATCACAACCGCCATGACAGTAAGCTTGGTCGAGGCTTTATGCTCCTGGTTTGGTGATTGCTACAGTGGGATTGGATCACGGTGCAGGGAACCGGATGGTGGTCCAATCAGGCAGTTGGGGAGGTGAGGAGAACAAGGGCTTCAGGGCAGATTATCCCTCATTGAGGACAGGTGGGCAGTGGAGCATCATCTTCAGCCAGACACACGAGAGTGAACACAATCATCTCCCTGAAGAAAAGGCTACAGGGGATCCAACACATGAGGAAGGCACCCTGTCACCAGGGGCCGTAACACTTCCTGTCCACTGTCTCTCAGCAGGTTTCCCACCATCTACTTCGCTCCAGTGGGGAAAAAGGACGAACCCATACGATACGAGGTACACACCACTGGAATCCTGTTGATCTGAGAGTCACATGACCTGTCGGTCACTTGACGTCTCTTGTGTTTCAGGGCGGTCGGGAGCTGCGGGACTTCCTACGGTTCCTGAAGCGCGAAGCGAGTCACAGTCTGGTGCTCAGCGGGTCAAAGGACGAACTCTGACACGTCTCCATCCACCAATCAGAGTGACTGCAGAGATACAACCAACCGGTCTCTGTGGCAACGACAAACATGTGGAGGGAGGAGGGGGGCTCTGATCCTCAGACAGACTTGGACCTGAATCAGGACACGTGGACCACTGCTGTCCAATCAGACTCCTCTGTTATCCCCACAAACACCTGTCCATCATGATGTCACGACGCCTGTCAGCTGCCTCACTGGATTTATTTATTACATAGAATTTATTATTATTTATTCATTATTTATTATTCATGGAGACATGAGAGGGCTGAGCTACGAAGGAAGATTAGTGGGTCAGCAGGTATATTGAGCTGAAAGTAAGAGTTTTATAGTCCCTTTTAACCTGCTGCATCTCCATGGTGCTAACCTGGTCCAGGTCCTGCTCAGCGTCTCCCTTTAACTGGTCCCTGATGATGATGTTTTCTCTGTAAACCTGCTGATCTGTACGTTACTGAAACACTGAATGAAGCAGTTACAGCATCACACCGGAGGCATCCTGTTGCCATGGAAACCTACGTGTGTTCAGCTGCTGATGCAGAGATCCCATAGTCATGTTTCTATGTTTACTGTGCTGGTCCTGCAGCTGATAGATCACTGATCAGAACATTGATCATCTATTGGTATTTATTACAGAGAACATCCAATCAGGAGCATTGATTCACTTTGATTTGTCGTTATTAAAGTGATTTCCTGCGTTATGGGACAGAGTCAGACCTAAATGAGCTGCAGTACAAGATCAGGTTTAAATATGTGAAGTTTAAAGTTCAACAGCTTTAATGTGCAGCTGTCAGGTATCAATAATCAACTGTATTGATCAATAAAATAAATGTATGAGCACATGGTGAGCAGGTCTCCAGCAGCTTCCTGTCCTGCATCATCTCCAGCAGCAGCTCTTTAAAGTCACAGTTCTTGATGTTCCTCGTTGTTCTCATTAGAACAAGCTGCTGACTGAAGCAGGAGGAACCTGATTGGTCCGTTTACTGCAGAAGAGTCACATGACGCGTTAAAGGCCTCCTTTAATGTGAACAGAGTCTGAAGCAGAAAGTCTGGTTAACTAAGAAAGTTGATAAACACCTTCTGAGGTCTCTGACTGGGGTTGTAGTCTTTGTCGAGCCGACCTACACAAAGAAGCTCTGGATGTGTCAAGCTCTCATCATAGTTCAGCCCTCTAATCAGCACAAACATAATGCAGGTTATTTATTTCAGCATGTGGAATTTGTGTTTTTTTTATTTGGAGCAGTTTAAACTAATTTGAACAGTTGTTGTGTCAAACTGCTGGATGTTTACTGATGCAGAATCTATTCTGAGCCTTATTCCTTTCAGAGACGCACTGTTAGGATGCTTTAATAAAAGACTGACTGATACCTGATGATGTTTACACTGAGTTCGCTGTGACAGACGGCACGAGACTGAGCTGCTCAAGGCATGTTTTTTATAGTGAAGGGTGACTGTAGATATTTAAGGAGGAAGACAAAAGTTGTTGAAACAACTACAGTATTTAGAAAAATCAAGTTTACAACAACAATGAAAAGAAAAATCAAGTATATAGGTTTTGATAATGTGAAGTAAACCAATAAAAGGTTAGTCAAAAAACAAAACAACCAAAAGCTGCTCAGGTAAAGTCCAAAAACACTTTATGTGCTTCAAGACGTGAGAATCAGCTTAATAAGATTTACTTGTTTTTCAGTGCAGAGTTCATCATTAGATTTTTTTTCATTAAATTGTTCATTCTTTAGGGCTGCAGGTGTCTCGGTGGTTAGCACCGTGGCCTCACAGCCAGAAGGTCGCCGGTTCACGTCCCGGTGAGGACACCCGGGATCTTCCTGCGTGGAGTCTCCATGTTCTCCCCGTGCAGCGTGGGTTCTCTCCGGGTTCTCCGGCTTCCTCCCACAGTCCAGAAACATGCTGAGGTTAATTGGTGATTGTAAATTGTCCGTAGGTGTGAATGTGAGTGTGCTTGGTTGTCTGTCTCTAAGTGTAGCCCTGTGATAGACTGGTTACCTGTCCAGGTGAACCTGCCTTCACCCTGAGTCAGCTGGGATAGACTCCGCCCCCATAACATATTAATTTATTGAATAATTATATGTATTTGCATGTTTATTACCACGTGTATTCCTTTTTGATAGGAACATAAGTTATGTATTTATGTAAAACTGAATAAAAAAGGAATTGATATGCTTCTTTGCTAATAAAACAATGAGTTTATATGTTTTATTGTTTCTTTTTACAAAATGGCTGTAGATTAACTTTTGAATGTGAGTAAAATTATTTCATGTGCAAGTTTTTCAGCGTTTTTGATTATAAAGATAAACCCTGACATTTTAAATGAAGTCTGGTCGGTTTCCTCCATAAAAGGCTGCGCCGGCAGCCTCCAGCTCATTGACTCTATTGGTGGAGGTAGCTGTCAGTCATGTGACGTCTCTCAGCTGATTAGTCAGTCCCTGCTGGTGTCCCGCCCCTTCACTGTGACTCCTCCCTCTCCTCGTGCCTCCCAGAACCTTCCAGGCTGCTGCTGTCCAGCTCCGCTGTCACGATGATCGGCCAGCAGGTTCTTGTTCTTAGTAAGTACCCAAAAGATATAAAAGTGTTCACGGTAAACATCTGGACCGAGGTATTGTGACCAGGGGCCGCCCGCTGCAGCAGCATTGGCCGGTTTATAGCCGTTTCCCGGCGCAGCGGCCCGGCTACGACACAAAGCGGGGAGCGGCGTCAGCCGCGGCAGAGCATGTGTTAGCCAGGCTAGCTGTTAGCATCAGCCAACTAACGGGATTACACGGCCGCAGTTAGCATCGTTATTTTTTATTCCATGTCCGCATCAGATAGTCAGCAAACAGCTTCACCCAGCTGCTGTTAGCATCGTCCGCGCCTCGTGTGTTTATAGGCAGCCGACAGCGTGTGAAGATGCTAAGCTAACTGCAGCTATTTCATCCCCGTTACTCAGCATAGACGTGCAGTTAGCATGCTAATAGCTAACGATGCTTTCATCCATCATCAACTCAGATTAAATGTTCTCCGATGATGTAACCGTGTACAGATGAATCCTTTACTGCTGGTAGAAAGCTCCGACTGTCAGGACAGTTTAACCTGCAGGTGATGAAGAAGTTATCAATAGATCCTGTTATTGATCATCATGATGGTGTAATGTGATTAACCATTCTTACTGTAATATTGATTGTTAGGTCTGGCTGGTTCCCCCCCAGATTAATCGGATAATATTTGATTTGCTGAATTAAAGATGGGAAGAGTCTTCAGTTATCAGAAAATATCAAATCTGTAGCAGAACATATTTAGTGATTCTGGTGAATAATGGGACACATTTATTGGAACGATTTGGGATCAGTGTTCTTTAAACGTGATGGACTTCAGAACCTGGAAGCTCCTGTCACTGTGACTCCGGATGTGGGAGGACCAAGTGGTGGATCTGATCTTTTTGTGGGTTTGTTTTGGGTGTTGTTGGTGTGACTTATTTCCATTGCAGGTTAATCCATCAGCTGTTCAATCGATAAGATGACATTTCTTCAAATGTTGAGTTTTTGTAAAAGAAAACATGCAATTTGAGAAGGTGATAAATTATTATTTGTGATGTGATTTTATAATTAAAATTATTGTTGATTAATTTCCTTTTATAATTTCAGGTTTAAACTGTCTGTCAGTGTTTTGTAGTTGATCGTTATACGAATGTGAGCATGCTGAGCTTCCTGACTTGGTTACAGATTTGTAATCAATAATTCAATTCAATTCAATTCAATTTTATTTGTATAGCGCATATTTACAACAACAAGTCATCTCATAGCGCTTCACAAAGGCAGAAACACCCAACAATCCAAACATCTGGATTCTCTATAAGCTTCAGCAGTCTGCTGGTGGGACGGAACCGAAAACCCCCACAGGGGAAAAAAACCTCGGACAGAACCAGGCTCAGGGAGGGACGGCCATCTGCCTCCACCGGTTGGGTGGATGTAGGATGAATTATAACATTTAGTTTACAGTTAAACAAGTTATTAGAAGTTAATAATCATTTGTTCCCTTCGTCTTAAAGAACTTTTTTGGTTGTTTGTTGATCGACTGTTGATTTATGAATTAATCAGCACATTAATCAATAAATAATTTGTGATCTGGTTTAAAGTTCAAGCTGGTTGTAAATGAATGTGCTGTTGTATTCATGTATTATTGATCCTGATTGGACCAGTTAGTTCATTTAGATCTTTACTGTTTCTTATTGTGTGCAGAGAATGTTGAGGTTATTGTTGATCAGTTCTACATGTTTGATTAATAACTCAGTCTGTTGATAACATCTGGGATCACTAAACACAAGTTTGGACTCTCAGCACTGATGACATTTAAATGAATTTAAACCTGCATCAATCTGAAAATGTCTTTCTGTGTGTTTGTCTGCAGACCAGAATGTGAAGAGAGAGTCGGGACGTAAAGTCCAGACTGGAAACATAAACGCTGCAAAGGTGAGTTCAGACGGAGAATCTTTGAGTCCTGCATCTCTGAGGAATCACCAGGAAACATTTACACCGACTGACTCTTAGGCATCAAACTAGAGCCACAAAGATGGATCAATTAGTTGTCAGATAGTAAATTATTCAACTGTTTAGTCATCGAGTCATCAGTTTCAGTTTTGTTTTTTTTTAAGTTATTTTTTTGGCCTTTTTGCCTTTATTATATACGACAGTTGAAAGAGAGGCAGGAAAGTGGGGGAGGAGAATGGGGCAAGGGGTTGCAGCAAAGGGCCATGAGCAGGATTCGAATCCATGGCCGCTGCATTGGAGACTATGGCCCCTGTACATGGGTCACCAGCTCAACCAGGTGAGCTAAAGCGGCGGCCCAGTTTCAGTCATTTTTAAAATACAACTCGTATAAATTATGTGATTGTTTCTTTTGTAAACTTAGCATCTTTGGAAAAGACACTGGAGAAAACACTGATTGATTCCTACAAAAAATTATTGTCACCTGCAGCTTTACTTCAGACATCGTGTGTTCTGATTGGTCAGCAGTCAGGCTGAAGTTCACCTGCCACAGTTACTGTGGTGATCTCACCTGGTCACCATGGAGATCTGTTCATGTTAAAGCTGATAACCTGCTGACTCCTGTTTGTTTCAGACCATCGCAGATGTAATCAGGACCTGCCTCGGCCCACGGGCCATGATGAAGGTCAGACCACCTCCACGTGCTCAGTCACATGCAACATACATGCAACATACATGCAACATATGTGTAACTGAGCTCCTAACAGATGGTGTGTCTGCCTGTGTGTAGATGTTGCTGGATCCCACCGGAGGAATTGTGATGACCAACGATGGAAACGCCATCCTCAGAGAGGTCGCACACACACACACCTACACACCTACACACACACACACACACACAAACACAAACACAGACAGCTTCACCGGGATTCACGTGTGTTTGGTTGTTAATCTCTTGCGCCTCCACGACAACAGATCCAGGTGCAGCATCCTGCGGCCAAGTCGATGATCGAGATCAGTCGCACGCAGGATGAAGAGGTTGGAGACGGAACCACGTCGGTCATCATACTCGGTGAGATGTCACGTGACCAAACACAGAGGTCACATGACCAAATACCAGAGAGGTCATATGACCTAACACCTGTGTGTCTGTCTGTCAGCTGGAGAGATGCTGTCTGTAGCTGAGCAGTTCCTGGAGCAGCAGATGCATCCCACAGTGATCATCAGTGCCTACAGACAGGCTCTGGAGGACATGTTGGACACGCTCAAGGAGATCAGGTACTCTGGCAGTGTTTCAGGTATTTTGTCCACCTTCTGTACAGCTCTTTCCCAGAGAACACCTCAGCAGTTTCTCTTGTCGTTGATGTTATTGCAGTGGACAAAATAGCAGAAACAGCAGGCAGCACAATAGAGCATGAGCCCAAATGAAGCAGGTGTGCTGCAGATGTAGAATCAATAAATTCTGATATTGATTAGCTGATTCCCCCCCAGCTCACCCGTGGACACGTCGGATCGATCCATGATGCTGAAGATTGTCCACTCTGCCATCAACACCAAAGCTCTTAGTCGCTGGTCCGAACTGGCCTGCAGCATTGCGCTGGACGCCGTTCGTACGGTGGAGCTGGAGGAGAACGGACGCAAAGAGATCGACATCAAGAAGTACGCCAAGGTGGAGAAGGTATGATGTGGCCCCTTCAACTATGAAACACCTGAGCTTACCTTAACCTGCTCACAGCTCAATCTGTGTTCAACAACAGTCTGAACCTGTAAATTCACTTCTTTATCCTACGTTTCCCATGATGCCCTGGTGTTTTCAGGTTCCAGGTGGGATCATCGAGGACTCGTGTGTGCTGAGAGGAGTGATGGTGAACAAAGACGTGACCCATCCGAGGATGAGACGAATGATCAAAGAACCCAGAATCGTCCTGCTGGACTGTTCTCTGGAGTACAAGAAGGGCGAGAGCCAGGTACAACACACACTGTAACACACACTGTAACACACACTGTAACTGTACCACACTAACACACACT